GTCTTGCACACTCTTAATTACGCCCTCATGAATCTTAATCCCCTAGATCCGAGAAGCTTCCGGGGAGAGGGGAAGAGAGGTGATAAGTGTGTGTGTGGTGTGTGTGTGTGTGTGGGGGTGTGTGTGTGGTGTGTGTGTGTGTGGTGGTGTCGTGTGCGTGTGCGTGTGCGTGTGCGTGTGGCGTGTGTGTGTGTGTGTGTGTGTGTGTGTGTGTGTGTTTTGTGTGCGCGCGCGCGCGTGCTTGATCCCCACACAGGACAAAGTCGCCTTAACTCAACACCTTCATTCAAGACTGACAAGTTGTTTATTCACTGGAAGGTACAGAAGAGGGAACTAACTGTCTTGAAACTCTCGCTCGAAAGCTAACACCTCTAAGGTTCACAATAATGTAAGCCTATCATTCCTCTTTCCTCCAGAACACTATATGCATCCAGGTACCTAATTAATCAATATACAGGTACCCAAATAATCTATAAAACATCCACGTACCCAAATAATCTATAAACATCCACGTACCCAATCAATTTATATTCATCTAGGTTCTCAAAACACAAAAAAGCCCAACTAAAGGCTTCCCCTCCCTTCTGACGACATAACCCCCCCACTACAACACAAGGCTTGGCTCAGAGGGTGTGCGGGCGGGTGAGCAGGTAGGTTGGGGAAGGACGAAACGGGAGGTCACCGAGGCCGCGGCCAGGCCCACACCTTGGGACACGGGGCCCACCGTAGCTTGCGGCGGCAGAAGACAAGACGCGTTAGGACACCGTCTTGTTCTTGAATACTAAGTTCATTTAGCACAAGATAATTATTCTTCCCTGGGCAACCTAAGTGGCCGGGGGACACGGACACGGTGGAATTGGAGAGAATGTGATGTGATGTCCGAGTTTTTGTGTGTGCCCGGGGGGGGGGGGGGGGGGGGTCGAGACCAACGGTCCCCTCGTCCTCCCCACCATCTCCCACTCTCCCATCCCTACCATATATATATATATATATATATATATATATATATATATATATATAATATATATATATATATATATATATATATATATATATATATATATATATATATATCTTTAAAAATATGGAATAGTTACACATTTGCTTTGAAAATGAAACTGGGCTTGAGAAAGCCTCTAAAGCCGTAGAAAGTTCGTCTGTTTCATGATACTACGGACAAAGTATGGATAGCAGAAAACAACCCATTTTCCTGTTTATATAATAGATTTTGTAACTATGTGTACCATAGTACAAAATTCCCATTCTAAGTAATTATATAATCGAACTTTGTATTATTCACTTTATAGTCTGAAAAAATGAAGCTATAAAACTAACTTAAATATTCCTAGGCCTAGTATAGTACACACATGAACTATATAAATCCTCAGATATCGTGTTTTAGGCCTAGGAAGGTAAAGCTGGGTTAGTTTAGTTTGCCTTTTCCGGTTTGTCCAACTCAATATTGCTAATTTCTTTCTAATTGCATTGTACGTAGGTATATATATATTATGGTCCTCATCGTTACTATAAGTAATACCACCAAAACAAGAGGATGGGGCTGCAGAAAATGTATGTTAATTTTCTCGAGATCAGCGAATAGTGAGGTATATTACTATAAGATTTTTTTTTCAAAATATTTAGCTGGGTGTATTCAGCGAACAGTGCCAAAAATAGTAGTGAGCCACATTTAGCACACTGTTCCCGCATATATTCTGGCGACCCTGACCAGTCACTGTCCGTCCTGTAATACCAGACCATCCCCTTGCAAAATTGGGTGACACTAGCCTCAAACGTCTGGCCTCCAATCTTGGACAGATAACAGACAGATATTCTCTCTTTTAGATATAGACAGATAAACACCATTTATACTGTTACGAGCAAAACACTGATGACGTTAATTAGATGCTGGAAGAAGGTAAGGGGTGTTGATACACACCGTAGGAGAGGCTGGTGAGACTGGAGCCGCTGGGATATAAGGTACCTTCCATGTCTTCTTATTCCTCCTCCTAAAGTCTTTGAAAAACAATGTCTAAATAAGTCCACAATAAGACTCTGGCTTTTGTTCCTTGACATACTTTCACATTTTTGCCACCCGCTGTGCTTTATCAAAATCTAACAACAGTTTTTTTTCAATAAACGGAATGTACAAAATTTCAGTAAATATGTTATTAAATGAATCAAGATGTATTTTTAATTTATAACACGTTACTTAATCTAATTATACTAACGCTTTTAAAACTGTGAAGAGGTTTCAGGTTCATATATTTTTTTGTATTTTTGGCCGAGTGTTTAACACAGCATGAGAGCGGCCAATACAGTATGAGAGCGGCCAATACAGCACGATAGAGGCCAATACAACAAGACAGCGGTCAATACAGAGTGTGGCCAGTGCAGTAAGAGAGTGGCCAATCCAGTATAAAAGCGGCCAATAAAGTAAGATAGAGGCTAATACAGCAAGAAAGCCCTAATACAGTATGAGAGCGGCCAATACTACTGTATTGGGTGTAGTGAATGCCACTCACTACACCCAATTATATTAGTGAGTGTAGTGAGTGCCACTCACTAATTATATTTGCCACTCTCGTTGCCATGAGAGTGGCAAATATAATTACAGGAGAATTACAGCTTTAAGTGTCGACTTCAGTAAACTTTACGAAGGTAGGAAATGCAAGTTACGGTAGACTTGACATGTTCGGGGAGAACTTTATTCAATTAACATGTTGTAGCAGTTGAAGTAGTTTACATTCCTTGTGATTACCGACACACTCCACGCACCCACAGCTTAGCATGGGCCCAGGGGCGCTCCCACCTCCACACACTCCTCTCAACTAATACGTCTCGTCTTGTACGTTATGGTCCTCAACATACAAATTACAACGTGCTATGGGAAGTAACGTTTTATATACACAGGTAGGTTACGTTAGGTGGGTTGCTTAGGTTCGTATGATTCTGGTTAGGTTAGAACTTTGTATTTTGTACGTTGTGGCGACTCAGGAGAAGGTGCTGGGCCACCCCATACACAGTTCTCCAGTGTTTAACACCGGCTCAGGGGCTGACTGACCCACCACACATGAGGGAATGTTTAATCTTAAATAGAAGGTGTCACTGAGATCATCTGTGACAATATTATGAAAACCACGGTTCAATAACAATGGTTTGAATGGAAGTAAACACCAAAATACATTTTGGTTCTTCCATTATCAAATATCTGTACTATTTATACACTCACTACACCCACACAGTCGCTATTCAGTACATCCAATACTGCCTCCTTTACTATACACTCACTACACCCACAGTCGCCACTTACTACACTCACACAGTCGCCACTCACTACACTCACACAGTCACCACTCACTACACCCACAAAGTCTACACTCACTGCACTCACACAGTCGCCACTAACTACACCCACACAGTCGCCACTCAATACATCCAATACTGCCTACCTTACTATACACTCATACGCAGCCCTCATTTACTACAACCGCACAGACCCCCCCCCCACCTCACTATACACAGCCCCATTCATTACACTGAGCACACTTACTCCACAATTCACTAATTGTACACAAATGTGTTACTTAAGACATTATCTAGAGCCAGGTGTAAGTAGAGATAAGAAATTACTCATCAGTACGTAAGTCTGAAATAAATAAATCCCTGAAAAAAATCAAATGAAACATACTTAACCTGTACGGATGTGTATAAAATAATGTGTTTTTTGTTACCAAATACAGTTACCAAATACAGAGATGAAATTGAATTTGAAGCGGGGCAAAGGTATCCCCCATCTATGTAGCTACGACTGACATGAAGAGACCAATGCTCCAAACATTTAGGTAGTATACGAAAGAAATCACACACTCAAAGACTTAAAGGAAGAAGAACCATAAACAGCTAGGATTTGTTTAGATCTACGTCTATATATATATGGCAGCACAAAATGTCCACCAGTGTGATATATTGGTTGCGAGGATCAGGTTGGGCCACCGATACCTGTGGCAGGTGGCTACAGGTGACGAATGTAAACTATACAAGCAGGTATTGGGTCACTCTCTACAACATTATATTATTGAATGTCCAGTCGTTAGACCTACACGTGTGGACCCCTTCAAATTTTGTTAGTGCTGACTAAGAGATTTCATGCACCTATACGACAAACCGTCATGCAAGATGGGGGATATTGTTGTCACATACACCTATACAGCTTAGAGTAGCTGCTTAATATTTAAAGATATAAATTACTTTTTGCCCTCAATAGACAAAGTGATGCTAAGGTACCAATACACGATTCATGCAAACTTGTTAAATAAAACTGTTTCCTACTTCATCAAATGAAAAACACCTTCCCACTGGAACTTACCTCTCACAAACCACCCACCCTCTCTACATCCCACCACCCAAGAGTTACACACATCTATCACCAATAAACAATGATGACCATCCTGCTCTGCTAAAACCAGTCACACTTGCAAGTATTGTTTTTCTGTTAATACCAATGAGAAAACCCTAAGATCTCACGAGCCTCGTATTTACTGGGATGGTTCAGTCCAGCTGTCAACAGTACACAATGCAGGACCTCATCCTAATAATCACCTGAAATCACTGATCACCAATTGCTGTCAGTATTAAGCAAATTATAAACTAACTCTAGGATGCATTGTACGGTTCATTGTGTAAAGAACAGTAAGGTGACTGTTAGGTAATTCCCGAGCACTCTGATCATGCTGTACCTCCCAGTGACCATGCTGTACCTCCCAGTGACCATGCTGCACCTCCCAGTGACCATGCTGCACCTCCCAGTGACCATGGTGTACCTCCCAGTGACCATGGTGTACCTCCCAGTGACCATGGTGTACCTCCCAGTGACCATGCTGTACCTCCCAGTGACCATGCTGTACCTCCCAGTGACCATGATGTACCTCCCAGTGACCATGCTGTACCTCCCAGTGACCATGCTGTACCTCCCAGTGACCATGCTGTACTTCCTAGTGACGATGGCGTACCTCCCAGTGACCATGCTGTTCCTCCCAGTGACCATGGTGTACCTCCCAGTGACCATGGTGTACCTCCCAGTGACCATGCTGTACCTCCCAGTGACCATGCTGCACCTCCCAGTGACCATGCTGCACCTCCTGACCAGTGACCATGCTGCACCTCCCTGTGACCATGATGTACCTCCCAGTGACCATGGTGTACCTCCCAGTGACCATGCTGTACCTCCCAGTGACCATGCTGTACTTCCTAGTGATGATGGTGTACCTCCCAGTGACCATGCTGTACCTCCCAGTGACCATGCTGTACCTCCCAGTGACCATGGTGTACCTCCCAGTGACCATGGTGTACCTCCCAGTGACCATGCTGTACCTCCCAGTGACCATGGTGTACCTCCCAGTAACCATGCTGTAACTCCCAGTGACCATGGTGTACCTCCCAGTGACCATGGTGTACCTCCCAGTGACCATGATGTACCTCCCAGTGACCATGCTGTAACTCCCAGTGACCATGCTGTACCTCCCAGTGACCATGCTGTAACTAACAGTGACCATGGTGTAACTCCCAGTGACCATGGTGTACCTCCCAGTAACCATGCTGTACCTCCCAGTGACCATGGTGTACCTCCCAGTGACCATGGTGTACCTCCCAGTGACCATGCTGTACCTCCCAGTGACCATGCTGTAACTCCCAGTGACCATGGTGTACCTCCCAGTGACCATGGTGTACCTCCCAGTGACCATGATGTACCTCCCAGTGACCATGCTGTAACTCCCAGTGACCATGCTGTACCTCCCAGTGACCATGCTGTAACTAACAGTGACCATGGTGTACCTCCCAGTTACCATGCTGTACCTCCCAGTGACCATGGTGTACCTCCCAGTGACCATGGTGTACCTCCCAGTGACCATGCTGTTCCTCCCAGTGACCATGGTGTACCTCCCAGTGACCATGGTGTACCTCCCAGTGACCATGATGTACCTCCCAGTGACCATGCTGTAACTCCCAGTGACCATGCTGTACCTCCCAGTGACCATGCTGTAACTAACAGTGACCATGGTGTACCTCCCAGTGACCATGCTGTACCCCCCAGTGACCATGCTGTACCTCGCAGTACAGCGAGGTGGGGTGAGCAAGACGTGTGCATGGTGGGGGTACAAGAAGGGGGGGGGGGGAGTACAGCAGGGGTGAGCACCATGCCTATAATATTACGTATTTATGGGACAGTAATATTCCCAGCCCGCTCGGGTGCACATCACTTTCACATTAATATTTACGTCGCACCAGAGATAATGTGAAATGGAATATGCTTTACACACACACACACACAAATAAATTAAATAAATATATATATATATATATATATATATATATATATATATATATATATATATATATATGCGAACAAGCCTGAATGGTCCCCAGGACTATATGCGAATGAAAACTCACACCCCAGAAGTGACTCGAACCCATACTCCCAGAAGCAACGCAACTGGTAACTACAGGGCGCCTTAATCCGCTTGACCATCACGGCCGTCAAAAGGAAGTGATAGCCGAGGCTATTTGAGCCACTTCCCCGACGGCAACTCGGATGGTAATCTTGGGCATAGCATTTCACCAAATCACCTCATTCTTTGGGGCACACGTGAGGAACACAAATGCGAACAAGCCTGAATGGTCCCCAGGACTATATGCGAATGAAAACTCACACCCCAGAAGTGACTCGAACCCATACTCCCAGAAGCAACGCAACTGGTAACTACAGGGCGCCTTAATCCGCTTGACCATCACGGCCGTCAAAAGGAAGTGATAGCCGAGGCTATTTGAGCCACTTCCCCGACGGCAACTCGGATGGTAATCTTGGGCATAGCATTTCACCAAATCACCTCATTCTTTGGGGCACACGTGAGGAACACAAATGCGAACAAGCCTGAATGGAATGGAAGTGGCTCAAATAGCCTCGGCTATCACTTCCTTTTGACGGCCGTGATGGTCAAGCGGATTAAGGCGCCCTGTAGTTACCAGTTGCGTTGCTTCTGGGAGTATGGGTTCGAGTCACTTCTGGGGTGTGAGTTTTCATTCGCATATAGTCCTGGGGACCATTCAGGCTTGTTCGCATTTGTGTTCCTCACGTGTGCCCCAAAGAATGAGGTGATTTGGTGAAATGCTATGCCCAAGATTACCATCCGAGTTGCCGTCGGGGAAGTGGCTCAAATAGCCTCGGCTATCACTTCCTTTTGACGGCCGTGATGGTCAAGCGGATTAAGGCGCCCTGTAGTTACCAGTTGCGTTGCTTCTGGGAGTATGGGTTCGAGTCACTTCTGGGGTGTGAGTTTTCATTCGCATATAGTCCTGGGGACCATTCAGGCTTGTTCGCATTTGTGTTCCTCACGTGTGCCCCAAAGAATGAGGTGATTTGGTGAAATGCTATGCCCAAGATTACCATCCGAGTTGCCGTCGGGGAAGTGGCTCAAATAGCCTCGGCTATCACTTCCTTTTGACGGCCGTGATGGTCAAGCGGATTAAGGCGCCCTGTAGTTACCAGTTGCGTTGCTTCTGGGAGTATGGGTTCGAGTCACTTCTGGGGTGTGAGTTTTCATTCATATATATATATATATATATATATATATATATATATATATATATATATATAAGCTATTGAATCATAGTGAGATCAATAATTCTAGGACGAATCATCTTTATTTTTCTTTAGTTTTTCTTCATTTAAGAAGAAAAGTTTATATATTAACTCTGAAAGTTCAAACATATATTAGAGTTTAGAGTTTTATCATGACCTGCCAATAAGAGATGCGTTTCGTTGACTCTGTCAGCATTTTCAGGAGCAGAGTACAAATAACAGAGAGAGAGAGAGGCGAAGCACCTCACTGTGGACCAATAGGTCCACTGCTATGTTTCCGTGATGATGACTGGGGCAGTATGTTAGATATTTTGTCTTGGTCTCAAAGATGGCAGAGTGCAATCGGGTGTAAGTTGCCCGTTGTTGCATTGGCTGGGTTAAGTTAATGTGCCTCGCCATGTCCAATCATTTATTGTCGCTGTATCTGTCGATTATTTTAGTGTAGTGTGTCAGGATATTTCTGGTGATGATCTGGACATATGCAAAGACCCCGTGCATTGGGTAACACCATTACCCGCAAGAGTGTAGGCGGACCAATTGTAAAAATCCTGGTTGGACTCCAGCTAGAACCTCCCAGTGAAGTCAGTAGAGTTCCGGGTTGGTCGGATGAGGGGGTTTTGGGAGGGGAGAGAATTATCAGGGAAAGCGCCAAGCCGTTACGACAGTATAACTCTTGGAAGGGGTCAGGATAAGGATTTGGGATGGGACGGGGGAAAGGAATGGTGCCCAACCACTTGATTGAATAGCAAATTCAAGACCAACATGAAGCGAGACCGTCGCTCTACCGTCCAACCCAAGTAGTTGTGCTAGGGGACTGGGAGGGAAGATGAGGGGACTTAGGGGGAAGATGAGGGGACTGGGAGGGACGATGAGGGGGACGGGGGGAAAGATGAGGGGACGGGGAGTAGATGCGGAGACAGGGAATATGAGGTCGAGACAGCGGGAAGATGAAGGGAAGAGGAAATGAAGTGAGAGGGGGGGATCAAGATGATCATGGGGAGAGCGGGTGAAAAGAGGGAAGAGGGGAGAGGGGGAGAAATAGGGGGGAGGGGAAGCGGGGGTGAGGGAAGGGGGAACAGAGAAAAGCCCGGCACCGCCTGGTTCCCCTCTATACAGAGATATAAACGGAAATGTCTGTGTTTTTGAGGCTGGAGGCAAGAGAAGGGGGGGGGGGGAATGGGAGGAAGAGAAAGGAGGCAAACAGAGGAGATTAGGAGATGGGGGTGAGTGGAAGGGTAAGAAGGGAAAATGAGGAGATGGAAGGGAGGATGGGTGAAGGGGGGTGGTGAAGAACGAAGTGGGGGGGGGGGATGTAGGAAAAGAGGGGAGAGGAGGAATGGCGAGTACGGGTAGAGATTATATCCCGGGCACCGCCGGGTACACCCATAGTGTGTACCCGGCGGTGAATATATACCATAACTGGTGCAATTGAAGGGTTATATATATATATATATATATATATATATATTATATATATATATATATATATATATATATATATATATATATATATATATATATATATATTTGTTAGCAGTCTTTTTTGTAAACATATGTTGTTCAATATGACCGAAAGAGTAAGATTAATGATTCTAACTCGAATCTTCTCAATATTTCGTATGTTTTTCTTCACTGTTAAGGGAACTTGAAAAATTAACTCTCCAAAGTTCCTTTTCACACTTTATAATGGCCTGAAGCCTGGGGATGCGTTTTGCAAGGTACTCCTTACATTTTCAAAGACAAATTTACCATGCTTTTGTAAAGGCTTATAGACTTTGAAAATGTAAGGAGTGCCTTGTGAAACGCATCCCCTAGGCGTCAAACCATAATAAACTGGGAACCATTATAAACATAAGCTCCTGAGGCGGGGCCCCAGGAGCTAGACCTCACTTCCCCAGTAATCACTGACAGGATGTCACTGTTAGGTTACCGGTTGTGGCGCCTGCATGGAGGCACCTGTGTGGGGCACCTCTGTGGGGCACCTGTGTGTGGCACCTGCGTGGGGCACCTGCGTGGGGCACCTGTGTGGGGCACCTGTGTGGGGCACCTGTGTGGGGCACTTGCGTGGGGCACCTGTGTGGGGCACCTGTGTGGGGCACTTGCGTGGGGCACCTGTGTGGGGCACCTGTGTGGGGCACCTGTGTGGTAAAAAAGCAGCGGAGACAGTAGCGAGGAGGAGCAGGGAGGCAGGTGGTGGGAGGGAGGAGCAGGGAGGCAGGTGGTGGGAGGGAGGAGCGGGGAGGCAGGTGGTGGGAGGGAGGAGCAGGGAGGCAGGTGGTGGGAGGGAGGAGCGGAGAGGCAGGTGGTGGGGAGGGAGGAGCAGGGGGGCAGGTGGTGGGAGGGAGGAGCGGGGAGGCAGGTGGTGGGAGGGAGGAGCAGGGAGGCAGGTGGTGGGAGGGAGGAGCGGAGAGGCAGGTGGTGGGAGGGAGGAGCGGGGAGGCAGGTGGTGGGAGGGAGGAGCGAGGAGGCAGGTGGTGGGAGGGAGGAGCGGGGAGGCAGGTGGTGGGAGGGAGGAGCGGGGAGGCAGGTGGTGGGAGGGAGGAGCGAGGAGGCAGGTGGTGGGAGGGAGGAGCGGGGAGGCAGGTGGTGGGAGGGAGGAGCGGGGAGTGTGACAACCATGTGACAAGTGTGCAACACTGACTGTCACGTGACACCCGGGTGACAAGGATGCAACACTGTCAGGTGACACCCAGGTGACAAGTGTGCAACACTGACTGTCACGTGACACGTCCAGATAACCCAAACTCTTCACCAGTTCTCCAACCTTTACGTCAGCCATGGGTAAATATGGGAATAATTATACCAGTAATCGTAGATATTAGTGTGAGGAGTGTGGTGTGTGAGGAGTGTGGTGTGTGAGGAGTGTGGTGTGTGAGGAGTGTGGTGTGTGAGGAGTGTGTACTGTGAGGAGTGTGGTGTGTGAGGAGTGTGGTGTGTGAGGAGTGTGGTGTGTGAGGAGTGTGGTGTGTGAGGAGTGTGGTGTGTGAGGAGTGTGGTGTGTGAGGAGTGTGTAGTGTGAGGAGTGTGGTGTGTGAGGAGTGTGTTGTGTGAGGAGTGTGTTGTGTGAGGAGTGTGTAGTGTGAGGAGTGTGGTGTGTGAGGAGTGTGGTGTGTGAGGAGTGTGTTGTGTGAGGAGTGTGGTGTGTGAGGAGTGTGTTGTGTGAGGAGTGTGTTGTGTGAGGAGTGTGGTGTGTGAGGAGTGTGGTGTGTGAGGAGTGTGTAGTGGAGGAGTGTGTTTGTGTGAGGAGTGGTGTTGTGTGAGGAGTGTGTTGTGTGAGGAGTGTGTTGTGTGTGAGGAGTGTGTTGTGTGAGGAGTGTGTTGGTGTGTGAGGAGGTGTTGTGTGAGGAGGTGTTGTGTGAGGGTGTGTTGTGTGAGGGTGTGTTGTGTGAGGGTGTGTTGTGTGAGGGTGTGTTGTGTGAGGGTGTGTTGTGTGAGGGTGTGTTGTGTGAGGGTGTGTTGTGTGAGGGTGTGTTGTGTGAGGGTGTGGTGT